TATATACTTAAAGGTTCACGGTTAGTGCTTTCTTTACAGGAAGCCATTGTTGAAGAACAGGAAAAGAAGAAAGACACCAGTCTGTATGTATTCTGGTTTTGTCAGCAAAAAAAGATGTTCAATCTGTATTATTAAGATACATTTGATGCAACATTCAATACAACAAGATATTAAACAACAGTAATTACAGTATATGCATATCATTTGACCTCCTGAGTCATTATTTAGAATTGTGTCTCCCTCGGTACCAAAATGATGACCTCTAAAAACTTACAACAACCATGGATTTCTGTGTATTTCTCCAGGGCTGTTTTGATCAGTCTGCGTTTGTTAGCCAATATCCTGGTGCTGATGTCTCTCGCTGGCAGCATCTACATCATCTACTTTGTGGTGGACCGTTCTCAGAAATTGGAGCAGGAGAAACCGGAGCTGACGCTGTGGGAAAAGAATGAGGTACTGAAAAGAAAAGCTGAGCCGGCATCGTCATCATTCGATTAGTTTATCCAACATACAATGCAGTTTCAAGGAATCAGTCAAAGCTGAGACCTGCCACTGATCCGGCGGATGAGGCAATTGACAATGAGGCCTCGCTGATTATGATTTGATACAATTTCCACATGAGTCAAGAGCAACTCGGACCTGTTGTCACTGTTCTCTGAAAGCACAAATATCATTTGTGATTGTTAAAAAAATGAAAACGTGTGTAGAAAACCTCTGTTAATTTCTAATGATATATTCCAGACTCACCCGCAATAGAGTAACTATATCATTTTTCTTTCTTTTTTTCAACATTATACCCCTCCCACATGTTTAGACATTTAAACTGTTGAAAGCACATTTTATAGAGCATTCCTTAATGCCTGTCCTCACTATCTTGCTTGTCACTCCCCAATGAAGTTTACACACAGTACAGTAAATCGTTGCACATCTTTACGATGGGCCCCGTGCCAAATTGATGTAGTCCCACCACTGTTGGTTGACACAGCTGCCTATTCCTGGAAAACTATGTCTAACATGTCTCCTCTCCCTTGATTGAGGTGAGTGTCGTCGTTTCTCTCATCACTATGATCGCTCCATCTGCCTTTGAACTGGTAGCTCAGTTAGAGATGTATCATCCAAGAACATCACTGCGTTTCCAGCTGGCCAGGTATTTCAACTGCAGCAACTACATATACATGATTCGTCTCTTGCCTTGCATTGACGAGATGATTCTGTTTACAGAGTGCTTGTTTTATATCTGGGAAATCTCTACAGTCTTATTATTGCCCTCCTCGATAAGGTCAACAGTATGAGCTCGACAGTAAGTTTCAAAACCATCTTAAATATTTATATTAATTTTTTAAACACCCAGGAGCTTATTGGGATCATTTTGTTATTCTATTCTTAGACTGGTATAAAAATCATCAGCTACATTTATTATTTAAGTATCAAATTAATAGAAGGGCTCCTGACTGCAAACTTGCATCACTTGACGTGGAAGAAAAGCAGCTCAGAACTCCACTCGGATGATTAAAGTCCGACACTATCCTATCTCCCTATTTTATCTCACTCAGATACTTGGAGGAAACCAAGTGCACTTGCTTCAATCGGTTAAAATTTCTTTTCCATCATTACATAAAGAATGTAATCATAGGTGAACGAGGGAATCTAGATTGATGGGCATATTTTGCCTCACCTTTTGACGCAACATAATTAGAGAAGCTTTTAACTGGGCATCCTAGGGCACTGAGAAAATGACTGACAATGGCATCGCTTGAGACTTGCTGTCTGAAAACACAATGTGAGACTATGCTCAACACAGAGATGAAAGTCCTCCGGATTTTCCCGGAATTCCGGGTTTTTCACATTTTTATGAAAATCTCTCTGGAGAATTGAGGAAAATTTGCCTAAAATTAATCCGGATATTAGTTGACAACATTGAACGAAGACGCGTTTGAGTTTGTTGTTTTGCTTTCACGAGCGTAGCCATGTTGAGACACTGACACTAGTAACAGTAGAGATTTTCGTCTCTTCATCAACACATTTGCTAAACCCCAGCGGAACGAATAAAAGACACCGTGGACAAGACAGTTGTCGTAAAAAATATATTTGGACAAAAAGGGAAACACGCAGATTGGCAGAAAAACGTATCCGTCCGACTTTGAGTGTCGTCTCGGCTAGCTTAGCTTAGCTGTTGTTGTGTGTGATGTCGGGTGTGTGACGTCGTTGCGTCGGCGCTTATTGGTTGAAATCAAAAGACGCGCTTGCGTACATGTTCGCGCTGACGCACGCACAGTAGAGAGCAGCGGACGAGCTC